CTGAAGATTTGTCAGATACCTTGAGACCTTTGTCAGATACCGGTGAGCATATTACTCCGCACTGGGTATCCGCAGCACGAGTAACGATCACGCAGACCCCCCGGACTCACCAGTCCGTCGCCACTACGCAATTTGGCGACGTTTACGACGCGGCCTTGAGAACCACCGATTCCAGTCAGGTATCCGGCGCCATGCTGAATCTGGTGACAGCAGCGGGCCGAGTGGACAACGCTGCGATATACAATCTCATCAAGATGCGCAGCGCGGTGACGGGAGCTTCATTCGAAGAGACAGCCCCAGCCAGGCTCTGTTTAATGCGAAAATCCTGGTGGGGTAGACCTGCTTTCCGACCCAAGGATGTACCAGCAATTTCCGGATATGACGATATCGAGATGGACTCGATACATTCAGCCCACGAAGCCGACGGCGTATGTGAGACCCAAAGTCGAGATGGTAGTGACCACTCTGGACGGGTTCGTCGCGATCAAGACTCAGGATCGCCCCCTCACTGGGTGGTCCGCAGTTACGAGGGCGACATTCGGTGCCCGTGTGACTGTCATACCAATTGCCGCAAACGAGCTGACGGACTATGCTCTCTGGCTGTACGCTATGAGCTTTCTGGACACGCGCGTGTGGCAAGGGCTTTCAAAATACATCGTCATTGGCAAACTGAACATGGATTTGATCGATCGAGCAAAAGCCACCGAACTGAAATACAGCCGCTAATGCCCATAGAATCATACTGCTCTAAAGGAGGATTAACGGTCACAAGCAAGGTCCTGCTGCAAGGTGCTGGTAGTTGCATCAACAATTATTGTGTATTCCTGAGAAATGTTGCCTCAGAAGCCATCCTCTTCCCTAATTCTCTGATTATGTACGATTATACTGTTCGACTCAAAGCTCTGAAGAATAATGTCATAGCACATGAAGCTCAAGTGAACTGCAAAGCTCACCCCATATGTGAAACTTTACGATGCACATTCTGTTGGGAATGGATCTACAATACACAATGTTGGAGTCTTCTACAAGTGATACTGGTGTTACCCTTTCTGCGGCAGCGCTACTTACTATCCCTGCCCTCTTCATCCTTTTTAAGCTAGCAACAACGGCACGCCTTTTCATGCGATTTCTTCTCTACCTCGTTCACCACTTGAAAACACTTTTGAGAAGATATGTCATTCGACGGCGACGTAACAAACCAAAGCGACTTGTAAGCTGCACTCTCCTGATACTACTCCAGCAACAAATAAGCATCGAATGTTCTCAGTTCTCTTCCTTGACTGCGAATGAGCACGTTTGCACCATTTCCAAGAACGACGAAATGTACTCTCAATCAAGCGACGATGATCGCACTTCAACCATTGCAGCAAGAGACCTGCCTGCAGATAAGAGACGGCAGCGCTACTTACTATCCCTGCCCTCTTCATCCTTTTCAAGCTAATAGCAACAACGGCACGCCTTTTCATGCGATTTCTTCTCTACCTCGTTCATCACTTCCCATATTGGACATTCACACAAGAACGAGCATTTGGGCGTGCTTTCCGTTACGCTACGTGATGTCCAATACATTGCCACAAGAGGATCGAGTTTTTCTCACGAGACCATGAGCTAATATCAGAATCGCACCATAGCTGTTACCTAGCCGGTAGCTGTACCAAGAAGTTTTGTGACAACGTCAAACCCACCGATACTCTGAAAGAAATATCTTCCATTGCTAACAAGAATCCCGGATATACCTACTGCACTCCCACTTGTGGATGTTTGACTTGTGGCGGTTGCCTGCTATGCGAAGATAGCTGCATTTTTTACCGAATTTATGATAGACCCAAGGATCAAGTATATCGATGAATCACATCGGCTGTGGTTCGCTAAGCTTGACCCAACTTAATGGTTGCCATAGAAGAGAAGCAAAGAGCAGATCCTGCAGATCAATCAGGATGCGGCGTAACACTTCAAGCTTCGCCTTAATGGAAAAGGCTCGAAGCTATTCCTAGCTCTTCATACGAAATTATATGATATGTCCAATACTTTCTCAAACCACCCCATCGAAATAAATTTTGTTTTCTTACTCGTGCTTTCGAAGAGTAAGCATTAGCACACGATAGACTTCTGATAAAAAAAGTATTCCTAGTCTTTGTTGTCTTGGGCGAAACCTTATTTGTTATCGAATTTCAACTCACTATATGCTTTCATTGATGGATGCATTTATGCTGGTGTCGAGATCAAGACCAACGGAGATCAATAACCGCCTGGCTACAGATGCAAGCAACAACTAGAGGATCGCATAACCAGAGAATGGATCTAACAAAGCTTGTATGCAGTACCTGGAATGAACATTGATTATGTTGACTGTCGGATTTTTCGAAACACAGCATTTTGCGCTCGAATATTTTGTTGCCATCAAAGCGAGTAGAGCTAGAGCTGTAAAGGCACAATAGAGGGGAATCCGGTTCAGAAGACTGAGTGCAGACGCAGAACTTATATTACTTACTTATATCAGAAAAAAAAACTTTCAGGCGAGTGGACATCACTTCTCGGATTCATGCCCACGGCTGAGAAGCGGAACGGAATGCAGATCATTGAACATTTTGCAAACAAATGTTGACTACACAAAATCAAATACAAGACTAGAGACTATTAGTAGTGCGAGAGTATCGAGAAATTATCGCACGGGGTCTCTTCCTAAACGACCTTGGCCACCATCTGGCGCTATGCAACGAAAAAGACAGACGCAAGCAATATCATACGCAAAAAGCATTGCCACGCTAAGGAGGGGGAATCGGAGACAGGTAAGGGATGACTAATACGACAGAAACACCAATGAAGGACTATCGAAAAAACATCTGTAGCCAGGCGGTTATTGATCTCCGTTGGTCTTGATCTCGACACCAGCATAAATGCATCCATCAATGAAAGCATATAGTGAGTTGAAATTCGATAACAAATAAGGTTTCGCCCAAGACAACAAAGGCTAGGAATACTTTTTTTATCAGAAGTCTATCGTGTGCTAATGCTTACTCTTCGAAAGCACGAGTAAGAAAAAAAAATCATTTCGATGGGGTGGTTTGAGAAAGTATTGGACATATCATATAATTTCGTATGAACTAGAGCTAGGAATAGCTTCGAGCCTTTTCCATTAAGGCGAAGCTTGAAGTGTTACGCCGCATCCTGATTGATCTGCAGGATCTGCTCTTTGCTTCTCTTTTCTATGGCAACCATTAAGTTGGGTCAAGCTTAGCGAACCACAGCCGA